ATTTAAATGAGAAAAATTTTAAATGGTTGAGCAACCTGCATTGGACCACTTGAGATGAAATTATCCTGTTTTATTCTTGCAGGGTAGAGACTCTTCCAGACCAGAGATGTGAACGTATGCCCTAACTCATGTGCGCTTTGTGTGCTTAAAGAAAAACCACCCTGAATCACAGAACTCTTTTTTGATGTGCTTAATGACTTTAGTGCTAATTTGTTGGTTGGTTTCTCCTTAGCCAATTCCCAACACCATTCAGTGTCATACTAATGAGAAATCCAATGTAGAAATATTGGAGACAGCAAATGTTAGACTCAAAGTTCCAGAATACAATGTTGCTATACAACACAGCTGCAGATACTACAAGCAGTCTGCAAGATGACATATGATGGCAGTATTAGTATGAATGTTAAAGCTTTAGAAGCTAATCTATTTGAGCAGAGTGTACAGGTGAGGAGATGAGAGAGCTGGACAGACTAAAAGACTATAAAGTGCTGCTGCGTCAGTCTCTTTAGTAAAGTAGTTGAGCGGGTATTGTGGGTAATGTTGCATTAAAGTGCTTTAGGTAAGTTTAGTCTCTTTTTTTTAAAAAAGATTCGGTCCTAAAAGTTATGTTTGGCATTTCAAAGATTCCTGCCGATATTTGCAAAGTCCCTCTCCCAGGATCTGTGTCTATAATATGACTGACAGTAAGCGTATCCAAACACAAACAACCATTCAGTTTTCCAAATGTTTCCTCAGTGACTTAATATACTTCTGTTATGGCCATGGCTTAATGCATTGTTGTGGGGGTTTTTTCATGTTCTAAACATCTTCCATGGTTGTTTATTCAAATTTGGAATAAAAAAAATAAATTGACTATTGCACTTTTAACTCCGAGTTTTATTACTAAATAAATCTTGGATGCTGTGGATGATCACATGTAAATTATAAAGATTAATATGTAAGCACTAAAGCTGGATTTGTTATTTAAGTAATGTTAAGAATAAAACGTCTCTTTAATGCTAATCCCACAAACCAGATGGTCGGCAGAATTCTTTTCAAATAAGTCTAAGATTAAAAAAAGAGACCAGCTGTGAAGTTGAGAAGATCTCTTAACTCCTTGTGTTCTTAAGTTTCACTGACTGTATGTTTAAGAATGTACTGAGGCATTACTAAATTACATTTGCAAGACTTGAAGATGCAGGAAGTGCAGTGAGTTCCAGAGGAAAAAATGCAAGTTTGTTAATAAAAATGTTTAGGTGGTTTATTAATGTTGCTAATGTACCTTTACTCTAAAAGCTAGTGGCTTTTTAACTACATGTGTGGCAAAAAAGCACTCCAGATAAATCAACAATCTGAGATAACTAAGCCCAAGACAAGAGTGCTAAACATATTTGACCTCTGCTGTTGCAGATAACTATTAAAAAGAATGCAGAGGGAGGAAAGAAAAACATAAATGAAGATAATCAGTGAAACTCCAGGGCATGCTGATAGTGAAGCGATAATTGGTTACTTTTCATTGTGTGGAACCAATTCCATGAGAAAATCGTTGTTATCTTGGTTACGTCATCCTGGCTTTTGTTCCTACCCTATCATTTGTGTTCACTGAAATTGGGCTGGTGAGTGACTCACACTCTCAGTGTGTATCTCTCTCTCTCTCTCTCTCTCTCTCTCTCTCACACCACACACACACACACACACACACACACACACACACACACACACACACACACATACATGGAATCACAATCAAGCAAGGTTTCATGCTTGTCATGGTTATGCAAAGGTTACATGAAAGAGCCATACCTAAAAAATGAAAGAGACAGAAAGAGAAGAGCACAGTGCATTTGTACAGTCATAATAAGTCATCTTCATTTGTTTGTTTTGTCCTTTTTGGTAGCGTTCCATCGCTCTTTATGAGATTAATACCATGAGACTCCATTTCATAAGACCAACCCTTTGTGTGACTCTATATCATCAGGCTGCTATGTTTGGCATGTGGCCTTTTACAGTACAAATGAATTCTCAATAAAAAGACACTGAGGTTTGGCATGCTTGCCTTTTATCTGCCTCTACATTCCAGTTGAACAGCTGGGTATAAGATACTTTTGATGAACATGTGAGAACATGATCAGTGAGAAAATAAAACAGACACACAATAGCCTGTTTAAAATGATGTGTGAGAATGTAGGTGTGTGTGGGAACAGAGACAGAAATAGCAGGTGGAGTTAGTTTGGTCAGAACTGGTCATATTAAAATAAAGATTTCCGCAAGCCTGTGTGACCAGAAATCGGTTGGATATTTATTTGAAAACATGTGGGAATGATTCAATATGTGTAGTAACATGGGAAATCCATCCATCGGATGTCACAATGGCTATATTTTTGCAAACAGACAAGAAAGATGAAAATCAAGTTAAATGGCTCACTTATATAGCGCTTTTATCCAAAGTGCTTTACACTGTGTCTCATTCACCCATTGACACACACACACCAGTGGTAGCAGAGCAGCCATGCAAGGTGCTAACTTGCCATCAAGAGCAACTTGGGGTTCAGCATCTTGCCCAAGGACACTTTGGCATCTGGGCCAGGAATCAAACTGCCAACCCTACGAGTGGTGGACTACCCACTCTACCACCTGCACCACAGTTGCCCCACAGCTGGTCAAGTTTTGACCAAAACTGTGTTTTTCTGTCGATAACATACTTGGACGCCTCATCTTTTAGAAAACATGAATATATTTCACTAAAACAATGTGGAAATGGTTTTATTTACATTCTATTATACACAGTCCTAAATTCTGTCATAAAACCTACATAGAACCTTCTATAGCTAAGTGCGCTTGATCAAGTTATATGCTGTCCCTACTGAGGAGTTTGCAATTTTGAAAAATTACCTCCAGCAGATTTCCTCTACCACTTTCCGCAGATTTGGGCCAAGACATGCCATGGGACATCATTAACAATGTGCATTCAGCCAAAGCCCTCTTCGATTCACATCATGAGTACAGTTTAAAAGTCTCATTTACAGACAAGCATCACTGCAGAAATAGCACAAAAAATTAAGCAAATTTCATTATAAATTAAATAAGAATTAAAATAGCACCACAGAAAAGCAGGCATTTTTGGCCTCAACACTCACAAAAGAAAACTCCTGTATGGACTGCAATATGGCGTAGGATTATTGACGTAAGCCTAATGAATTCAGCTTGTAATCAGACCATAAAAATTACCATAAAAACAGAGAAGAGCACTTGCACATGCTGTACAGATGGCAGCGGACAACATAAAAAAAAGGTTTAAATGGATTAATAATAACAAGATATTTAGCCAACAGAACAACTGACTGTAAGCATCAGCGATTATTGTATTAACATTTATTAATGTGAACAGAGATCATTCAAGTGAAGAGATGATGCTAAGGTTTACATGCAACAAGTGAACAGTCATATCACAGCTAACCAGGGACTCCCAGAATACATGACAGCCTTCAAATATGACCACCACGGACTAAAACTACAGCACACAGACACAGTCACGATCTCCGAAGTTCGAATCACACACAGCTTTTGCCTATTACACACAGACACACACACACACACCACCCTATATAAGAGACTTTTCCCAAAAACTTTCTGAAGTAAATGCTCAGTAGCTTTTGTCTCTTTTGTTCCCATGCTGTTGTCACTCATTGTTTTTGTTTTTGTTTTTGTTTTTGTTTTGTTTTTTTAAACTTCTCTTTGTTCTTGATTACAATTTCCTGCCCAGGCTATTCTAGTTGGTTTGTTGATTGCCTGACCCTTGCATGATTACTGTTTATGATTTTGCTCTATGATTTGGTTTTTTGAAGTTTTGTTAAAGCTGCTTAACTTGCAATTGCTTCTGTCTGATCCTCCATTATATGACATGATTTTTACCTCAGGTGGCAAGACAGAGACTGTTGTATATGATCCTGATTATAAAACTGATAATCATTTTAATATTTCCTATTGCAAAGTTATAACTCCTGTAAAATTTGCCAGTAATGTTGGGAAAGGCTTTCAGTGGAATTAGAATGACCTACATTTTATCTTCAAACCCAAAAAAACATGCTGCCTTTTATAATCTAATTCTCCAAGGTCAATTCGAATCTATACAGATACACTACCTTTTTAGGCTCATTAGGGTCAATTAGGGCAATGTCATGGGTATTGTGGGCCAAGAGTGACACTGCTTTAATCAGCCTCATTTAAAATTTCAACTCAGTTTGAAATCTGGGTCAAAACTGGCCCAAACACAATCAACCACACCTATTGTTTGTGTGGCACTTCAATCCTGAGCTGATAATGACCAATATTATCTCATCAAGGTGATTGTGTTCTGGGAACCTGATTGAGAGTTTCATCCATGTCATTCTACAGAGGCACAGATGGAAAAGGTAACCATAGGCCAGCAGACATTTAGGAATAATAAACCAAGGAAGAACAAAGAAACAAAGAACAAAGAAAGCAAAACAATGCAACTTATGCAAAGCTGTTGGGAGTTTAAAACCTGGTAAGAAGCTTTTCATATATAAAAACCTCAACTTTTTGCTACTTTTCATGTGATTCTAATAATTTATGTACAGTATGTAGCATCAATTTAGCATTTTTGCATGAATACTGTATGTTCTGAAATTAAGTAATTTGCATTTTAAACTATATAATTACCATGTGATCGTCAATGGCACTGAAGACTTATTTCATTTTTTTTTATAAAGATGCTGAGTTGACTTAGTTTAAATTTCTTTCATTGACATGGTCTAGGTTGATATTTTTGAACAGTTTACTACATTTCCTATAAATACTGATTGGCTGTGGTGTCAGTGGGATTTAATTCTCTCTTCATCTCTACGTAAAGAGACTGATGCAGCAGAGCTTTAGTCCTTCAGTCTGTTCTGCTGTCTTAAGTCTTCACCTGTACACTCTTCTCAAACATACCACATTATACTTCTGTGAGGGCACAAAATACACAAAAAACACGTTTAATGTGTTTCCGGGTGGATTTTGGGTGCACGGTGGTTTAGTGGTTAGCATGTTCACCTCACACATGAAGTGTTGGGGGTTCGATTCCCACTGTGGTCCTGTGTGTGCGGAACTGTACTGGGTACTCTGGTTTCCTCCCCAATCCAAAGACATGCATGGTAGGCGGATTGGCATGTCTGTGGTGTGTGAATGTGTGTGCACGGAAGGATTATACTGCTGAGCGGCTAATCCTTCCACCACATTGGTTCCACTATGAAGTGGAACCTTGAAACGAAAAGAAGGGTGAAGTTTTCCTTTAAGCCAGCACATAAATGTTTGGCCAATATTTAATGTTAGACCTATAATTTAAATGTGCTCTTGTACTAGTTCTTATAGCTCTCATTGTCTTAATGGTATTCAGATTATAGCTAATAAAACTGCCAGGACATATTTATAGGCCCCATGCAGCTGATACATTTTCTCATTAAATGTAAAAATAGTTAAACTGTGCTGCAGTTAACACCCATTATGAAATTTTGAACTCTGCATGTCCACCTTTCACTCTCAGTTAAACACCACCGCTTTCTTTCCTCTTATCTATCTGTGTACAGTTGTTAAGTAATGTAAGGTAATGCCAACAATCTTGTTCCATGTAAACCATACATAGGCTACTGTACACTAATACACACAGCAGTTGCCTTCACGTAGCATGAGCTGAGCTCAAGGCTAAATACGCAGCTTAGCCGGACTCATTAAAGGAAATGTCATTGTGGCTAATGGGAAAAAAAGGCTTCTAACACAGGTTCAGTGGAGCAATGCTAGTTCAATCAATTTCCTTAACCTACTACACTTGAAATACTTCCAGAACTGGGACTCTGACAGCTAAGGCCAGTGGAGATTCAAGTGAAATTCTTTATTTTATTTTATACCGGTGCTGTTGAATTCTCGACTCTGATTGGCTGACAGGCGTTCTGAGGTGTGCAATTAAGTAAATTAAGTAAATCAGTAAATTAGTTCCAGTCAGGTCTTGTCTGCATTACAGTTGAATATCACATTGTCAAGCTGAGTGAAATAATGGAAAAGTTGGCCTACTGTACACCACAGCACACATATTTAACCACAAACGAAATGACAGACAATTTAGATTTTCCAGAATAATGTAAGGAATAATTGAAAGTTGGGGCGCACAGTGGCTTAGTGGTTAGCACTTTTGCCTCACACTTCCTGAGTCGGGGGTTCTATTCCCACCATGTTCATGTGTGTGCGGAGTTTGCATGTTCTCCCCGTGCTGTGGGGGTTTCCTCCGGGTACTCTGGTTTCCTCCCGCAGTCCAAAGACATGCATGGTAGGCTGATTGGTGTGTCTAAAGTGTCCGTAGTGTATAAATGGATGTGTGATTGTGCCCTGCGATGGACTGGCACCCTGTCCAGGGTGTACCCCGCCTTGTGCCCGATGATTCCTGGGATAGGCTCCAGGTTCCCCGTGACTCTGAAGAAGGAGTAAGCGTTTGAAGATGGATGGATGGATAATTGAAAGCGGGCTGCTGAATTATTAGAAAATAATGCCCACCCAAGGTGATAATACGGCCACAAGGCACAGCAGAGGCTTGAGCCATCGATATGCAGTTACTGGAGAGAGAGAGAGACTGTGAGCAAGTATGAATATTTATTTATTTATTCGTTGTATTTTCTGCAGTAATAAAAAACTGAGTAGGCTTATCAATATTTATTTATTTCAATATTAATAATTATTATAATATTATATATAATAATTGTTCGATATTATATGTAATAATTATAATATTTACCAATGTCAATATTTATTTATTCCATTTTCATAATTGATCAGCATGAAACAAAAAACTGTGATCTCTCTCTCTCTTTCTCTCTCTCTCCCAATAATTGCATATCAATGGCTCAAGCCTCCGTTACGAGTTCTAAAATGACGTTTTGATATTAGCAACAGAGGCTTGGGATGGGATGCGTCATAAATTAGTTCCACACACAAGAGCGTTTTAAGGACAAAAACCTGACAAATGTCTTGAAATAAAAAAAAAACTGAACAATGTCTCGAGGTGTGTCTGTATCATAAGGTGTATCTGTGGCAAAAGTGGAAGAATTGTCTCCGGTCTCTTGAATTATAAAAAAAAAAATAATGCACACCTGAGGTGTACAAGCCAGTCCGCTTCACGTCGTGCCGCATTAACACCTCGGGGTGTGCGTTATTTAAAAAAAAAATAATAATAATTAAACGGCCCATTGTCAATTATTCCTTTCATATAGTCATAAAAAAAAGAGTTTGAGAAAAAAAATTAAGAAGAATTATTAGTCAATAACTGTAACCATTATCAGTATTTTTTTTATTATTGTTTTTAGGTTAAATGTATATCCTGATATTGTGGCTATTACTATGTACTTTAGTCTGTATAAGTTGTGTACAATGATGAATAAATCCTGGTTAAGTATTGCAACTAATCATTTTTATTGATTTCTAGAATTATATGTTCACCCAAATGATCATAAATAACTTTTGACATTAAAGCTATGTAAAGAACTCTCTCCAGTTGACTTTTATTGCAAGAAGTAAGAAGTTTCATTGACTCAGGGTCCTGATTTATAAGGTTCCTTCATGTGTTTAGCTGGTTAATTAGCTTAACGTACTGAAATGGACGTACTGTAGGGCTGTGGAGGATCTGGAGAGATTCCTTGTGCTGGATTCTCCATTCTCAAGAAGCATTATTGCAGACCCGGTGCTTTTATGTAGGCAACGGGAGGTTGTACAAATGCAGGGGTGCCAATAATTGTGACACGTGGTTTTGGTGTAAAAAATTATATATATATATATATATATATATATATATGTGTGTGTGTGTGTGTGTGTGTGTGTGTGTGTGTGTGTGCGCTCGATACATTTCTTAGACTAAATTTACTTCAGTTAAATGTTTCAGATTTCAGTGTATTTCTAGATTTCTAAAATATATTTCTAGATTTAATTCCAGTCTTTTGTGAGCACTGTTGTGATACCCTGACCTACACTATGAAGGCAATAGTAGCTTATCCTGACAGTTTTTTGCTGATTTGGCTGAAAGAGTGCTTTTGTGGAAATGAATTACAGATGAGTTTATGATGCAATATCCCAGCAACGTTAACCACATTTTCTCTAGATGTTCACATTTCATTAACCTCCATTTCTCCCCCAAATGGCACCCACTGCAGCGTGACCAGCTGTTACCTGACCCTTAAAGTGTGTGTGTGTGTGTGTGTGTGTGTGTGTGTGTGTGTGTGTGTGTGTGTGTGTGTGTGTGTGTGTGTGTGTGTGTGTGTGTGTGCACGTGTGTGTGGCTGGCTTGGGCATTGCACATGCAGAGAAAAAGAGGTCTTTTGGGGCAAGAATGGATATACAGCCCAGCTGTTAAAGAAATAAATAAATCCTTGTAATTAAAACTTAATTATACAGTACAGTCCTCCTTTCTCTCTCTCTCTCTCTCTCTCTCTCTCTCTCTCTTTCTTTCACACACACACACACACACACACATATATTTTTTGTAATGCATGCTAGGCGGTTACTTTAAAGGCTTAATTATTCCATTTTCATGTTTGATTCTTTGACATAAAATACATCAGTAGTACCCCACTTGTGATTTTTTAAGCTTTTACATGTCTTGAAAAATACTGTTGCTAACAAGTGGTTAAATGGAACTACAGAGGACGATGACATTAAACATCATCACGCCGAACAGGAAAACGTCTACTACGACCTCATTGTGTTTATACATCCACGCCTGCAATCTACTCCAACTGTGAGAAGCTTAGTGGTGGTGACATTAAAGTCATGGTACCGTGGTGTAGTTCGTTTATAGCCTAACATTAGCTTTTTACTTCTGGCAATTGCATTTAGACTTCAAAATTCATAATAAATTGTGTTCATTTGTGAAGAATATCTTGATGAACAAAACATGTAAGAATCATGGAGCTTATTTTATTATAATAATCTAAAAGCCAATGGAAAAATCCTATTGGATTTTTGTCGGAGGAACCAGGGTGATGCTATCTTCGGGGTTCACCTACAAAAATACATCATCAGTGCATCACTTGATTAGATGAAGGTAAACATTAAGCAACTGTCACATCAATTCTGGAATCAGCTTTGTTCTCCAGTTTCTGAAACACAGAGTGGCCTACAAACATGGCCACTAGCGACCACAACACCCATACTGCATCTCAATTGATCTACTTGTATTATATGCAATGCACAATGTATGTACTCTTTTTGTGATGAAAAAGTACATACTTTTGACTGTGTAGCAAAAGAGAATGCAAGTATTGGAACATACTAAAGCATCATGTAATGGGAGAGTATGTTGTTTCCTAGTTTCGCACACCATCACCATAAACACACAAACTCCTTGTTGAATTTCAGCTTTTCTTCATTCATTATTCATTATATAATTTATGCTATATACTTTAACTTACCATTCCCTTTATTTATTCTTCCACGTTTCATTTACACCTCTCTAAAATGTGCCATATTTTCAGGCTGATTTCGACGAAGCAAACAGTCACAAAACTCCTCTTCCCTCATGCAAGGAGTTGTGGCCAATTTTAGCTGAAAAAGTGTACATGGATCTACACCTCGGGTACATCCGGGATACTCAACATACTATAGATATATCAACATACTACGATTTGGGACATACTAATTCTCATCTATTGAGGACGGATAGTAGGTGAATTGAGATGTAGCATCAGACTGCTTTGCATCCTACAGACATGGCTGCCATGGACTACAACACACAATCACCCTTTAAAGTTCACCATGCTTCAATTACAGACATCTCAACTCAATCACATCCCCTCAAAGTCACAGCATTTAATGACTTTCAGTACATTTACCCATTATGAAGAATAGTATACATATACAGCATTTGGCAGATGCCCTTATCCAGAGCAACTTACATTTAGCTCATCGCTGAGCATTTGAGAGTTAAGGGCCTTGCTCAAGGGCCCAAAAGCTTGGCTTTGCTGGGGTTCGAACTCATGACCTTCTGATTAGTACCGTTCCCAATGTCTTAACCACTTACACTGTATACACTCAGAATTCTCATACCTGTCACTACCGAA